ATAAATGTTTATTCAATTTTTCCTGGAGGAGACATGGCCCCTTTTGCGAGAAGGAGCTTCCCGCTTGACATCTGGAACATTTTCCTTGACAAAATTTCTCTTGCAAGAATGAACACCTGTATGCTTTTGTTCAACTGCTCTGCAATCCAGTGGAGTCGAACAGTAGTTTCCCCTGTGCATTCCCCATGCTGCAGGGACTCCAGCCTGGGTAATGGGCATTTTTCCATAGTTTGAGTGCTCCCATGGGGACCCCCTGGTCTGGAGAAGGTATAGTGGGGCATTGCCCTGCTGTTCCCTGCTTGTTCCCTGGACTGGGGTCCCCAATTCTTGGGAATGGGGCCCTGCTTCTCCATTCCCTTCCAGGTCTGGTGCATGGCTATGAGTGAGTGGCTCAAAGCACTGTGCAGGGGGCAGCCAATCAGATTCCTCTGTGGCAAGTTCAAAGCTGGCACCTGTAGCCCCGCAGCAGACCTGGGGAGGAGTGGTGCCACAGGGCAATGCCCTCCCACCTGTTCCCTAGGTTGGGACATTCTGGTATAAAGAACAGGCAGGGAGCAGTGGGGCAGTGCCTCCCATGCCTTCTCCAGACCAAAGTGTCCCTGGTCTGGGGAAGGTTTGGGGGGCAGTGGCAGCTCAACTCCAGTCTGGTTTATTGGAGGGGAGTGAAACAGCCAAGAAAGACTCCTTTCCTATTCCCCAAATCTGAGTGTCCCCAAGTTGGAAAGCACAGGTAGTCCATTCCCCCCAGGAATGTGAGGAGTGGAGCAGCCACTGCTTCCCAAACCTTTCCAGACTGGGATCAGTTATCAAAGGAAGGCAGGAGAGAGGGGATAGCTGCAGGCTGTATGCCTGTATTGCTCCCTCTCCTGGAAGCATTTCTAGCAGTGGAAATTTTTGAGACATTAACACCTGCTCATACCCACAGTTTTAACAGTAGTATTTTCTCCTTAACCTTGGGCCCATTCCTGCTCTCATTCTGTAAGAACAGGATCTGACCATGTAGGTTTTTTAGGTAATGGGCTGTTATTTATTAAGTTATTCTTAGCATTGCTTTTTTGGCATTTAATCTTGATTTTGTTGTTTATATACTCTCAACTTAATACCTAACCTTCTGGTGGCTACCTGTTCATGTTATATTTTGACTGGCCTCAGAGAGTGTCCCAAAAGGAGCTTGTATCCCTTTGGAAAATGGAAATCTCAAGATCAAAGACAAGGAACCTAGATCATCTCTGCAACACTTTAATTTGGTTTAAGTTAGCTTTTTCACATTTTCTTTCCAGATGATTAGATATAAGTATATCAAATCAAAACATACCCTATATTCCTTAGTTCTGAAAGGAGTGAAAATGTTTAGTACTAGCATTTTAATTTTACTGTCAGAAACAAAATTAATTCAGTCTACTACTAAACAAATGAAACATCACACTTATATGTGAGTACAGAGGTCACTTGATACTTGAGTATGAAAGGACTATTGAAATGCCAGCTCTGTTTTCTTTCTAAATCCAGAGATTCCTTTTGTGTGAAATACCTCAAAAACATTCCTCAGTGGAGTGCCAACTATTCCTTTACATTAATCACAGGCATCAATCAGCTTTCAAGTGTGTTTTAATTTTTGTAATGGTGCCAGAATAGGTATCTAGTCCAATCAAAGCCTACATGAAAAAAGTTATAGGACCAAATTAGTTACTGGAATAACTCTTTCTTACATAACTGCTACTGTTTTAGTTGTTTTGTATAATTTTGGGTTAATCCTAATGCAAATGATACATTTAACAGAGATGTTCTAACATTAAAAATGGAACTTACAAAGGATTTCTTTCTACAAAAGCAGGGAAAGAAGTGCCCTGTACATAAAACAATCCACCCTCTTCAACCCTTGCACTGAGAAATGTATGCTCTAACGTCACAACACTAACCTTGTGGGTTATGCTGGTTGTTTTAAGGCCATGGAGCCATACACAAAAACGACAACATCAAAAAATCAAGTACATTTCAAGGTTTCCTAGATACCAAAATGTCAAACTACAACTCATCAGCAGCCTAAACCTTTCATTTTCCCTGATGCAGTTGAAATTTACTGAAATGTACTAAACATTGCTGCAAATGGAAATTTTAGAAGTAATGTAAAATACACTGAATGCAATAAACTAACAAATGTAAGGATTCTTATACTTATTAAACTATTAATCTTCAGATTGAATGCAACTGAAATTTCAGCAGATAATGTACTTGCAACTTTGTCAGCCTAGCAGTACTGCAACCAGGGATTCCTGCCTATGGCTTTAGTTTCTACTGGACGTTTCTATGCGAGATGCTTAATGCACAGTAGCCTAATAGCACTGTGCAGTACCATGCCAGGCAATAATTGTGCTAATATGCTACTGTGCAGTAGTATTAGGCTACTGCACAGTAAGCATCACTAAAAAACTGTGCTGTGGCACTATTGCTCAGTAACTGTAGTTAGAGTGCATTTAGTTAGTACTTTATTAAGCAAGTACTAAACTAAATGTGTGGTACTACTGTGCATTAATGGATGTGTAGATGTGTCCACTGTCTGCAGACCATACTGGGCTTGGTCACATGTAATAGTAGGCCCTAGACCAGTGGTCAGCAGCCTTTTCAAGTTGAGGGCCAGAATGACCCAGCTTCAGTCACAGGCCAAAGGGCACTAGGATGTGGCTGCTGCTTCTCTCCCTAACATCATTGGGAGAGCTCTCCCTGCTGAATTCCCATGCTCCAAAGCCCCACATCCTAAAGTTTGAGCAAATGGCTCTGTCGGCTGCCATCCCCTGCTCTAGGTCATAGTTTTGGTAATCAATGGTTACTGCATTAGAATACAGTAAAGACATTTTTTCAAAGATTTTCAAATACATCAATTTCAAGTCTCAACCTGCAATAAATAGCATTTTTAGCAGTGTCTGTAAACCGATATTTCCCAAAAAAGGTGATTAAAGTGGATAGTTATTTAAATGCAAAAGAAAAAGACTTGAAAGTGGAGATGGAAGGCTAGGATTGTAAATATTTAAGCATCTGCTTCAGTGGCCTTATTTTTAGGAGTCCTATCTTTAGCAATTCATGTTGCCATCAAAGAGAACTACTGAATGTCTAAAAAAAATAGGCTACTTTTTAGGTTCCTGAACAGAGGAGCCTCACTTTTCACTCATTTGGTTTTGAAACCAACACATTCAATTAGATAACTGAATGAGAAAGCTCTGAGAATGAGAGAAAGCATTGCATTGTGTCAGGGTGGATGGCAGTTTTATGAAGAGTTTAGATTATGGATTATATAGGATGGTCGGTATAGGGGCGATGCTGCCTCAGGCACGGGGCTGGACTGGATGACGTCTGGACGTCCCTTCCAGCCCTAATTCTCTATTATTTCTATTTCTTAATAAAAGGTTTGATTCATTCATGTACAGTTTAAAAGGATTAATTTAAAAGAAATTAAACATTTTTATGGAAGGAACTGTCCTCACCACAAATTTAAAATTCTCCTTTCTCCTATATTCTGAGGATGAGCCACTACACTTTCTCAATTTTAACCTGGCTTAGGTGATCAAGGTGAAATTCTGCTTTTTGAGTATATTTGAGATGCTTTTTGTTATATATATAAGGCACTAAGGGCACACCTAAATGTGCAAATAATCCAGGAGCAACTTATTCTACAGTAAAGTACCTAGACTAAACTCTCCCAGGCACATGATTATGCATGCAGAGATGTGGGAGCAAATTTGCTGCTCCTAGATGTAGACTGCTCCTGTTCCCTGCGGCCGTATGCCAGACCCCTGCAGCCGCCAAGGGAAACTCTAGGCTCTTCCTGGGTGCTAGCCCAGGGGCCAGGAGACATCTCTCTCTTGGTGGGGGCTTGAACATTGCTCCCTGCCCCCAAGAGCTGCCTGTTGCCAGGGTGGGTTCTGTCACCAGAGCCTGGGCAGGGACAATGTCTTCCTGCCCTGACGTCAGGGAGCTCCCAGCTCAAGCCCTGTGATCATGGGGCAAGGGCTGGGAGACCCTTATCTCCCAGCACCAGCTCCATGGTTGTGGGGCTGGCACTGGGCAAATCTCCCAGCCCTGGCCCCGTGATCACAGAGTGGTGGCTGGGAGCTATTTGCTACCAGGGCAGGGGGACATTGTCCCCATCTGGGCTCCGGTGGTGGAGCCTGCCCTAGCAGCTCCCAGCTCCCAGAGGGAAGGAGCAATCTACTGCCCCCTGCTGACCGGGAGCACATTTGCTCCCGGTCAGGTGTCTACATGTGCGCTACTGTACAGTAAATAATCTCAAGTAAATTTGCTACTTGCATTTGCAGGTAGCAAATTTACTCATGATTAGAGCAAATGACTGTGCAGTAAGCTCTAATCTCAAGTAAAGTGTCTTGTGTAGATGCGCCCTAAAACATTTTTCATAAAACTGGGTCAATTTGTACCCTCCAAAAGGAGATAAGCCACTGAAGTCAGTGGAATTGCATACTGATCCTGCCTGTCTTTCTTGTTCCTTCTGCTTAGGTGGAGATGATGGGATATACTCAACGTTTCAGTTTACCTTTCAAATCTCATACTAAAGCTGGAAAGCCAAAGTAATCCAGCTCAAGAAGTGGGTATCCACATGAGTAACATGAATCTAGAATTGTTTCTCTTTCAGATCTTGCACCTTCACCAGTTGCAAGAACCAGTGTCTAAGGGTCCCTTAACTTCCACATGCTTTGGACTCGACATACAGTACTAAAGGTAGGGACATAAACATGGAAGTAACCAATATTCAAGGACAATTCTGAAAGTTTTGGCTTAAATGAATTGTCAAGAAAAGCAGTTAATGACAAAATTATGATAGGAATCCAAGAATTCCTGGGCCCTGTTTCTATGCTTAGACTATGCCTCTGAGTATATGTCTTCATTCTAATTAAAGGTATTACAAAGCTCCACAAGACAGAAAGATAAACGCTATCAGACATTCATTTGTTTTTACTGAATACTGTCTTAGATAGCCAGGTTGCTAGTACCTGCAGAAATCTCCTTCTGCCTCTGGCAGGGTCAGTGAAGCCACTGGATTCTTCATGAGGTCTGCCACAGAGTTGTCCTTTGGAGTCACATAAAAGAAAGGGATTCCAGTGCTGTTATTGATGGGCCCATCACTGACAGGTAAATAATTCCCAAATGGCATCCCTTGAATCTGGAAACACAAACATTCAATTCTGTAAAGTTTTGCATATAAATGCTGTACAAAACCGGAGGCTTCCCCAACATAGTTTCATAGTTTCATAGATTTAGGGTCGGAAGGGACCTAGTAGATCTTCTAGCCTGACCCTCTGCCAGGGCGGG